TTACTATGTAATGCATTACTTGAAACGGTACAACTTTCATGTTTAACATTTTTTTCCATCTTACATATTTAAAAAGTTATTTAGAGTAAACTTATATGGATACATACATACATACATACATACACACATACATACATACATAACGACATTTTTTCTAAATGTGATTTTTGAACGTTTTAGAACATTCTAAACATATTTTCAAAGAAAACTGGAAAAAAATTTTTTTCACGAAAACAAAGCTTCCTCTATGAGGAAGCAATTGCAATTGTTTCCATTTCGAATGTTGCCTTTTCGTTTCCTTCAATATACTTGTACAGTACTGAATTATCATATACGAGCTAGAGGTTATATTTCAACATCTTGAGCTTTTATCAACTGGAAATTTCATAACATAATAATAATTCTTACAGACAGCTAATTATTGCGATTTTTGCCAATAGTCGAACCCAGTATATTGCTATTCGCAATAGGTAGTGATCCAAAGAACTTGAATATTGTAATTGTTAATGATGAAGCTGGCAGTTGCGAATACGGCAGTAACTTTGGCAATATTTGGAATGATGAAAGTACTTGCCACTTCGGCAATCTAAGTTGTAGATTCCTAAACAATTTCGACAATACCATTGCGACACAGGTGTAATTCCAAAATTAATAATATAATGTAATTATTTAATGATGTGTTTAAGTATACGAGTAGGTACAATGGCGTTTTCTGTTGTCTCGGTATCCTCTTGTCCGTCACCTATTTATTCCGATGTAAATTGAAAAATTTTTAGTTTTTTTATTCAATATTAATTAAGCAAAACAGATTAATAATTATTAACGCGTTTGTTGACGATTCTTATTAAGTATATTTTGTTTTTAGAAGTATTATAACAATATTTCAGAGGCGAGATATGATGTCCAAAGGGGAGAACTTCATGGTATAATATATTTTCATCAAAATTTTTCCGATAGAGAAACGAGTGGAAAATGTTACTTTCGCGAAGGATTTTCACCTTCTTGCCAGTCAGATTCAAGTTTTCCTCGATATGAGCGGTAAGTTATACAAATGTTGTAGAGAGCATTTCACAAATACTTAAAAAATTTTATTACTTTGTATTTGTGTATATTTCGACACACCAGCGCGCGCGCACGTAGAAACGTATCTTTAAATAGAAAGTTTTGTTATGTAAAGAACTACACAAAAAGGAATCCAAGAGTTTAAGACCATTTTACATCCTGAATATTTTGACATGAACGACATGTAAAACAATTGATTTGATACAAATATTTAAATTTATAATGACTTTCGTTACAGAAGGGCCAATTGGACTTTTTCTAGAGAGGAATCTGCTTGAATGGTTTTTTGAAGTTTTTGAGGCTATCATGAGTGACTGCAAATATTTGCCAAAATTGGGCAGGGCGCCAATTCGAGTCAGTATACATATAATTTTCAATTTTATAAGTAAATCTCCTTCTCTTCTTCTCTCTCTCTCTCCCTATCTCTTACGTAACACTAACAGAAAAAATTAAATTTTCTATCCTTTTCAGTTTGAAGATCCTATATATAGTACTATTGATTTAAAGTATGTAGACTTCGTGATACCAACATTCCTGCCATCGTAAGCAAAAATGAAGACAACATAATAAATAAACCCACTTTACTAGACTACTTATATTTTCATTATATGTATAATGGTAATTATAATGAATATAATAAGTATTAGTAATTATAATTGTTATAATTTGTTATACTATATTATATTGGTACGATCCGTGAATAGATC